CCAGGTTCTGTTTTTAGAACCTGAACCTGGTTGTTGTTTTCCCAGGTTGGAAAAACAGAACCAGAGGTTGTTTACCAACCTACCACCTGCTATTTTGTCCAGCCAGGTTGGTTCTGTTGCATGGATTTATTTGGGATGATCCCTGGTTCTTCCCAGGTTAATTCTCAAGGTCCTTGCTAGCTATAACTATTTATTCCTTCTCTGTTTGTACCTGTATATAGTCAATTGATTCAAGCGAATTCCTTCCTCGTTGGAATTTCGTTTCTGCGCTATTCGACGGCGGAATGCTACCTGAGTCAACGCTAGGCAAACGCTGTCCGAGCCAGAACTTCGTAATGGCAGAACTTTTCGCGAGGCAACTTGGCTTATTTTTAAGCTCTTGGAGCGAGCTTCGTTTTAGCGAATTCTCAGCTTAATCTGATCGACGGTCTGCACGGCACGCTGCGCGACGTTAAACGCACTATCGTTTTTTTGGCTAGGTCATTCTTATCTCCTCTCTCTACAAACTCGGACCCGAGGATAGGGGCTGGTCTTGTACCAGGCACCCAGGGACCCTTGGAGGTGACCCAGAGGAGAGGTTTTAAGTTTGATTAAGTCTTAATAGCTTGAGTTTATTAGGCACCAACACACCTGAGGGAGACACAGATGCACTGGATATCCCGACTCCGCGCTCTTACGCAGAGGCGATTACGGGTCCCTACTCCTCTCAGTGGCAGACAGCCATGGACGCAGAGATGGCATCCTGGAAGTCTACAGAGACTTTGGTCGACGCAGTTCCCTCTCCTGGGGCGAACAAAGTCGATGGCATGTTGATTTTCAGGGTGAAGCGGCTGCCGGGTTCTCCGCCTGTCTTCAAGGCTCGTTACGTTGCTCGAGGCTTCAGTTAGCGAGAGGGAGTTGACTTCTTCCAGACCTTCTCCCCTACCCCGAAGATGACCACTCTTCGGGTGATGCTGCACGTTGCCGCTCAGCGTGACTACGAGCTTCACTCTCTTGACTTCAGCACATCCTTCTTACAGGGCAGCCTGCACGAGGAGATCTGGCTGCGCCGCCCACCTGGCTTCACTAGGTCGTTTCCTGCAGGTACCAAATGGAGCCTCCGGCGGCCAGTCTACGGTCTCCGCCAGGCGCCTCGTGAGTGGCATGACACACTGAGGACGACACTTGCGGCTCTCGGGTTTGCTCCGTCGACTGCTGACCCGTCGCTGTTTCTGCGCACCGACACTTCACTGCCGCCGTTCTACATCCTCGTGTACGTCCACGACTTGGTTTTTGTCACTGCTGACGCGGAGGGACTGGCTCTTGTGAAGTCGGAGCTGCAGAAGAGACACACCTGCACTGACCTGGGTGAGCTGCGTAGCTATCTTAGCTTTGAGATCACGCTGGAGAGAGCACGGCGCACCATCACCCTGACTCAGTCACACATGGTGCACCAGGTCCTTCAGCGCTTCGGCTTCCGGTTCTCCTCGCCACAGTCCACTCCTCTGCGTACTAGTCACTCGCTCTCAGCTCCACCTTCGGACGAGTCCGTAGAGCCGAGTGGCTCGCCTCCAGAGCTTGTGGGCTGCCTCGTGTACCTGATGACCTGCACTCGACCTGACCTTGCGTACCCTCTTAGCATCCTGGCACGCTACGTTGCGCCCGGGAGACACCGGCGAGAGCACTGGGAGGCCGCAAAGAGGTTTGTTGCGCTACTTGTGCAGTACATCAGGCATAGGGCTCATGCTTGGAGGACGGAGTTCAGTTGTCCTCATTGGACATTCAGACGCTTCTTGGGTTGACGACCTGGCTACGCAGTGGTCGTCACAGGGTTACACCTTCAGCCTTGGCGGGCTACTCGCTCGTCTTCTGTTCTCAGCTCCAGTTGTGAGGCTGAGATCTACGCCACAGCCATGGCTGCACAGGAGTTACGCTGGCTCATCTACCAGCTGATCGACTTGGGGGAGCGGCCTCGTTCTCCTCCAGTTCTGTACGTAGACAACAAGGCCGCCATTGCCTTGTGTCAGGAGCACAGACTGGAGCACAGAACGAAGCACATCGCTCTGCGTTACTTCCTTGCTCGAGAGTTGCAGCAGCGTGGTCAGCTGCGTCTTGCTTACGTGGCCACTCGGGCCAACACTGCTGATATATTCACCAAGGCACTTCCGCCTGGTGATCATCAGTGTTTTTGTATTGCTTTAGGCCTTGTGCCTGCTTCGTCTCACTTGCTCACCGTGTGACTTTACTTGTACTGTGATCTATATATATACCTGCATGCTTACTCATACGTGCTACGTAGTGATCATTGTATTGTTTGCTCTCTTTTATATAACTCTTCAAGTGAACTGGCCTTGTGGCCATTTGCTTGTGCTCGGAATGTGTGGTGACTTCATGATCCACCCTGAGCTTGCTTTGCTTTTCTTGACTGGTCTTGTGACCCCTTGTTCTCCCCCACTTTGCCTATAGGGATGTATCAAACTATTTTAATGTTTATATTCTATTTTATGTCCATAAGTGATACAACCCAATTAGGGTTAGTACTTGTACCAACTTTCTGTTCAATGCATACTTTCTTGTTCTCTAATACTACTTAGCAGCGGGAAGGAGGATACTAACGGCTCATCTGTACACTTACACCAATGGGGGAAAAGGGGGTGGGGAAGGAGGAGGGGGGTCGTAGGCAAAACATCGTCAGCACAAAAAAAATGTTGTAATTTGGGTGTCCACTCAATAAACATTTCTGAGGTGGTTCATTCTCATAGGGGTGTCAGTGTCGCGAGTCCACTCTGAAAACTTCAAAACACAGTCCTTTCATATAGTAGATAGAGTGGGAGCTATGGGGATGATGAGAGCGGGAAGAGAAGGGTTCGTTCTCATGGGAGGGCACCTCGCAGCGATACTAATACTCCTGATCTGACAAATCAGGGGAAGGCCCCAAACCAGCTCTTAACGGATCCGGGTTGAGACTCCAATTTCTCAAAATCAGCCCGTAAGAAATAAGGGCTCCTCTTGAAACCAGCCCTTAAAATGCCGAAGTTGGCGAGGAGTTCACCCGGAATGTTCAGGGCATTAAAGCAAATGCCCTTGAATCGATAGCCCTGGTTGTAAGCAGAGCAGATCCTGAAGTGGCCCAGTCAAGTAAAATGAGACTTTCGAAGGATGAGGTTCCGGGATCAAACCCCAGTGCCGACGAGTTCCGTCAGCCCTCCAGAGGGGGGTTTCACAATGCTCATCTGGGAGTGGATATATCCTTACCTCGATACCGAGCAAGGCGTGAAAACAAGTGGATAGGCGGATTACGATCGACAGCCGGGGGTAACCCAAAGGGGGCTCTCCCCCCTCCTTTACCTTTACCTGGTTGTAAGCAGATTGTCTGCGAACTGTTGGGTTGCGATGTGTGATATCCTCTCGTGAACTCACGGGAGTGTCACACCATTTTTCGTGAATTTGCCACCTTTCGCAATTCTTCCGCACCTCATATTGCTCGAACCCCAGACCAACCAAACCAAGCATTGACTCAGTTTTTGTAATTCGGCTTCGGGATTTAACCAAACAGTTGGTACCAAGAGCACTTGTGTTACTTCAAACCGGAGGGTCAAGAAGCACGAAATTGGTTCAACCTTCCTAACCTTGGTTGGGTGTAACCCAATTCCCACCAGGGGCCAACAAGGTCAACACACAAACCCCGAACTCAACATTCGCCAACCAAAAGCACTGTAGCACCGACGATTCTGCCCTACCAACATTGCACAGAACCATCGCACAACACTAATCTCAACAAACACTGTTGGTGTAAGGGCCTAATAAACTAAAGCTATTAGGACTTAATCAAACTTAAAGCCGAGAAAGGTCACCTCCAAAGGTCCCAGGGTGCCTGGTACTGTTGGTGTAAGGGCCTAATAAACTCAAGCTATTGAGACTTAATCAAACTTAAAACCTCTCCTCAGGGTCACCTCCAAGGGTTCCTGGGTGCCTGGTACAAGACCAGCCCCTATCCTCGGGTCCGAGTTTGTAGAGAGAGGAGCTAAGAAAGACTTAGCCAAAATAACAAGAGTACCTTGAACGTCGCGCAGCATGCCGTGCAGCTCATCGATCGGATTAAGCTGAGAAGTCGCTATAACGAAGCTCGCTCCAAGAGCTTTAAAATAAGCCAAGTTGCCTCGCGAAAAGTTCTGTCATTACTAAGTTCTGGCTCGGACAGCGTTTGCCTAGTGTTGGAGTGCTAGCATACTAGCGTTGACTCGGGTAGCATTCCGCCATCGAATAGCGCAGAAACGAAACTCCAGCGAGGAAGGAATTCGCTTGAATCAATTGACTATATTCAGGTACAAACAGAGAAGGAATAAATAGTTCTAACTAGCAAGGACCTTGGGAATCAACCTGGGAACAACCAGGGATGATCCCAAATAATTCCAAGCAACAGAACCAACCTCAACCTGGCTGGACAAAATAGCAGGTGGTAGGTTGGTAAAAAACCTCTGGTTCTGTTTTTCCAACCTGGGAAAACAACAACCAGGTTCAGGTTCTAAAAACAGAACCTGTTTTGTCTTTGCCCAACCAGCCAAATGCTGGTTCCGCTGGTTTCCCCTGGCCCTGTAGCATGCAGATACAGACAAACAACATCCAACCTTCACCCAAATTGTACCCCTATAGTGCCTGCCCTGCTACACTATAGTCAACCAAGCAAAACAGTACAATTTCGAATTGGATAGAACTGAATCTGCGCAATCAATTCAACCGAACCGCAAAGCTTCCATCCTGGGTTCCTTTGCGAGCTCGTCCTTTCTGCTTGCACTGTTCATAGCGCGTACAATGTTGTGCCAAAGCGCACATTGCGCGAGTACCTGCAAATGCATCAAGCGAAAATTGCGAAAGCAAACAAACACACGAACATTCCATTCACACACAAATGCATTCGCACACGCATACTCGTACAAACAGACGGCAGGATGTCGTGCAATGTGCATTTGCACCCAACACACTCCCCCTCAGCCTGCCGGCTGCATCCCCATCATTCCATACTAGTTCATGCTCATTCCACTCATGCGCACACAACGCCAATGAGGCTCATCCGCAAGCCTCTTGGTGAGAAAGTCTGCTGGCTGCTGGTGAGTCTTGATGTAGATCGGATTCACCGTCCCCCTCTTCACCTCCTTACGCAGCCAGTGCCACTTGATACGCATGTGCTTGTTCAGCCCATGAAGCACAGCGTTTCTGGCCATCCCAAGAGCCCCCTTGCTATCACAAAACAGCGGCGTAGCAACTTTCTGCTCCTGGCCAATCTCCTCTAACAGCCTCCTCAGCCAAATCACCTCCTTCACCCCATGGAACATCGCCATGTACTCTGACTCTACGGAAGAGAGTGCCGTCTCCGTCTGCTTCTTGGACCTCCAACTAACAGGTCCTCCCCCAACTACGCAGATGTATCCTCCTACAGATGAGGAATCCTCCTTCTCAGAAGCCCACGTAGCATCGGTAAAGCAAGTGAGAAATAGCTTGCCTTCTCCAAGCCTCTCCCCCTTCTCTTTCAGCACCTCCACCCCTTTCTGCTTCACCTGTGCAGATGTGGAGTATTGAACTCCAATGTTAGGGTGAGAGTTCAGGTATTGCACCACACGCTCAGCTGCATCCACCTGCTCCTCTGATGGATTCTTTACCCCCCTAGCCAGCTGCCCAACCGAGAAAGAGATGTCGGGCCTTGTGTGAACTGCTGCGTACAAGAGGCTGCCCACCAAGGACTGAAATTGCTGCTGCTCCTCGGCTTCAACCCCTTCATCCTCTGCAGCCTTCACAAGCTTGAATTCTGCTGGCAGGGGAGTTGCAACCTTGCGCTCATTCTCAATCCCATACTTCTCCCCCATGCCCTTGAGAAAAAGGCTCTCATCACAGCTGCTGGTCCTGAATTCCATCTCCTCTAAAACAGCTGCCAACTTCTGGTACCAGCAGCGTGGCGCCTGCTTCAAGCCATAGATGGACTTGTTGAGCTTGCACACCCTGCCCGTACCATCCTCATACCCAGGCGGCTGCGTCATGTACACATCCTCCTCTAAAATCCCATTCAGGAATGCCGTTGAAATATCCATCTGAATGATGAATTTCCCACTAACAGCTGCATCTGCCAACAAGACATGGAGGGTAGGGGGTTTGGCAGTGGGAGCAAAGATCTCGTTGAAGTCCTGCTTCTCCTTCTGCATAAACCCCTTCGCCACCAGCCTACTCTTGTAGATGGTGACCTGCCCCTTGTCATCGGTCTTGATCCTCAGCACCCACTTGCATTGTATCGCTTTTTTCCATCAGGCAGCACCACCAGATCCCATGTCCCATTCTCTAGCAGGCTCTGGTACTCAGCATCCCTAGAAGCCAGCCACTTCTCCCTATCTGATCCAGCTAGTGCCTCCTCCATGCTAGCTGGTTCCTCTGGTGCAGGGGCAAGAAAACAGTACGCAGGTTCGTCCTCCTCATCCAGGTCATACCCATGAGGTAGAATCAGCATTGCCTCCTCGGTCCCAAGCTGCTGCTCCACTACACATGATCCTGCAGTCAGCTTCTTAGTAGCCATACGGGTACGTCCTGGCCTGGAGACGGGTGTCTCCCATCCCCTCATAACGACACCCTTCGGCTTCTTAGTTTTCCCCTGCTGCTGCTCTCCTCCCTCGGATCCAGCAGCTCCACTAGTGCTGCCGCCAGTTTCCACACCATTTTCTCCACCAGCAGATGCCTCCTGTACCTTCTCTCCATCACCATTCCCCGCAGCTGCCTCCTCTCCCTCCTCCCACACACTAGGAGTCAGGTCCAGCTGCATGGTGATCTGCTCCATCTGCTGGGACACCCTTGCCTCCGGCTGTTTCTCCCAGCTCCCATACATCATGCCCTCAATGAATTTCACATCCCTGCTGTCAAACAACACATCCTTGGATGGTTCCCACAGCAGCCATCCCTTGCTCTCAGCAGCCAGCCCCAAATGTACACACCAGATTGCACTCGCCCCCAACTTACTGCGGTAGGTCTTGGGGACGTGGGCGACTGCCATGCAACCGAACACCCTCAGCATGTCCACCGGCGGCTTCCTCCCAAGGCACCCATGAGTCATCCTCAACCTTGGTGAGCACCCTGTTCCTAGCGACGGTAGCGTGAGGCCACATAGAATTGCTCAGCCCAGATTCTATGAGCAGCGCCCTAGCTGTCTCCAGAATGGTCCGGTTCGCCCGTTCTGCTACACCGTTGGACTGTGGGGTGTAAGCCGTAGTCAGCTCCCTCTGGATGCCCTGCTTCTTGAGCCAGGCCGTCATTTCAGCTCCAAGGAACTCACCACCCCGGTCTGTCCTAATCCGCTTCACTACACACTCCGCTTGCTTCTCCACGAATGGCAGTCAATAGTCCTGAATCGTGGAGGCGGCGTGGTCCTTCTGCTTCAGCGGATACGCCCACATCAGCCTGCTCCAGTCATCCACTATGGTTAGGAAATACCGCTCCCCCTTGTGCCCTTGCACCGGCAGCGGCCCCACCAAGTCCATGTGGACCAGCTCCAAAGGCTTCTTGCTCCTGCCAGCCACACTATGGAAAGGGAAACGGGTGAACTTTGAAAGCAAACAGATTTCACAGTTGTCATCGGGTGGCTGTCCATTCAGCTTCAAACCCTTGACGGCTCCATCCTTCTCCAGCTGCTTCAATAAGGGCATTGCCACATGCCCCAAGCGTCGGTGTGCCGTTGCCCAATCTGTCTCCCCAGATCTGGCCGACACTTTCACGCCAACCCCTCCAACGGCGTTGCACTCCCCCTGGGATGCAGACCCCTCTCTAGCCTGCCCCCCACCGTGCCACGCCAATGCCGGCAGCTGCCACATGGATCTGTACACGTCCTTGCTCTCGTGCAGATCCCAAAGCACCCGATTGCCCAGCTGCCCCTTGTACGTGCGAGCCCCATCCGTGCTAGTGCTCACCCCAGCCTTGGCAAGCTTACGGAGGGAGATGAGGTTGGCCTTGAGGTCGGGAACGAGGAGAACGTCGTGCAGCACCACCGGCTTGCCATCCGCTCCCTTAAACGCAGCTCGTCCCGCACCAGCCACCTTCAGCGAGTGTCCAGAGGCGGAGCACACTTCATTGATCGGTGCAGCTCGTACTTCGTCCAGCAGGTCTTTGCGCGGCGTCATCGTCCAAGCAGCGCCCGTGTCCAACACCCAATAGTCCAGGGGGTGCAGCTCTGCTCCAACCTTGGCAGAGGCGTCTCCTTGCTCCCCCTGCTCTCCAATATGGAAGAACTGGCCCGCGGTGCGCTCCTTCTTCTTCTCCGCACCAGCGTTGCTCTTCGGGTTGTTGTCGGACGAATCAGCGACCATGTTCGAGCCGCTTTTCTGGTTCCTTCGCGCGCCGCCATCCTGTTGACGATTCTGGGGGGTCCATCTATCGGGTTTCTTATAGCACAAAAACCAGGGGTGCCCCTCCTTCTCACAATACCAGCAACTCCCTTTCATTTTGCCACCAGCACCCGACTTGCCCCCATGTCCAGATTTCGCACCGCGACCCCAACCGGTACCTCCTTGTTGGTCGTTGGAGTCGTCGTCCTTCTTTGCACCGCGCCCAGCACCACCGAAGCCACGTCCTCTGCCACGTCGGTTCCCTTGCATCCCGTAGCCGCTGCTGCCGTCGTCCCCACCCCTCAGTTGGCGGCGACGGAAGTCCTCCTCCAGAATCTTCATCCGCACCCACTCGAGCGTCCACGAGCTCTGGTTCTGCGGCAGGCTCAATCCGCTCGTGAATTGAAGCCACGATTCCGGCAGCAGCGAGAGCATCTTCAGGCACTTGGTCTGCTCCGGGTAGGTGATTCCCACGTGTTGGTGTAAGGGCCTAATAAACTCAAGCTATTAGGACTTAATCAAACTTAAAACCTCTCCTCGGGGTCACCTCCAAGGGTCCCTGGGTGCCTGGTACAAGACCAGCCCCTATCCTCGGGTCCGAGTTTGTAGAGAGAGGGATCAAGGACTTAGTCAAAACAGCAAGAGTACCTTGAACGTCGCGCAGCGTGCCGTGCAGACCGTCGATCGGATTTAGCTGAGAATTCGCTATATCGAAGCTCGCTCCAAGAGCTTTAAAATAAGCCAAGTTGCCTCGCGAAAAGTTCTGCCATTACGAAGTTATGGCTCAGACAGTGTTTGCCTAGCATTAGAGTGCTAGCATACTAGCGTTGACTCGGGTAGCATTCCGCCGTCGAATAGCGCAGAAACGAAATTCCAGCGAGGAAGGAATTCGCTTGAATCAATTTGACTATATTCAGGTACAAACAGAGAAGGATTAAATAGTTCTAGCTAGCAAGGACCTTGGGAATCAACCTGGGAACAACCAGGGATGATCCCAAATAATTCCAAGCAACAGAACCAACCTGGCTGGACAAAATAGCAGGTGGTAGGTTGGTAAACAACCTCTGGTTCTGTTTTTCCAACCTGGGAAAACAACAACCAGGTTCAGGTTCTAAAAACAGAACCTGTTTTGTCTTTGCCCAACCAGCCAAATGCTGGTTCCGCTGGTTTCCCCTGGCCTTGTAGCATGCAGATACAGACAAACAACATCCAACCTTCACCTAAATTGTACCCCTATAGTGCCTCCCCTGCTACACTATAGTTAACCAAACAAAACAGTACAATTCCGAGTTGGATAGAACTGAATCTGCGCAATCAACTCAACCGAACTGCAAAGCTTCCATCTTGGGTTCCTTTGCGAGCTCGTCCTTCCTGCTTGCACTGTTCATAGCGCATACAATGTTGTGCCAAAGCGCACATTGCGCGAGTACCTGCAAATGCATCAAGCGAAAATTGCGAAAGCAAACAAACACACGAACACACCATTCACACGCAAATGCATTCGCACACGCATACTCGTACAAACAGACGGCAGGATGTCGTGCAATGTGCATTTGCACCCAACACCACGGTCGCCAATTTCGCGTAGAGGTCGCGCATCTTGTCCAGAACTGGTTGCACCGGCTCTCCCTCGCTCAATCGCAACGCGGACAGCTCCCTCTCCATCATAAGCGTCGCGGCGACGGAGGTAGGAGCGTGCAGCTCCTTCAGCACGGTCCACGCCTTTGGACCGCAATCAACCTCCGGCAGCAGGTGCATGACGTGGTAACGCTGGTTCACCTCCAAACTTTGCGACATCAAGAAGTAGCCAGCCGATGCGCGCTCGTCCCAATCTTCCTGCAGTGCGGGGTCACTCGGTCTAGGCTCTTCCCCAATCATTAGTTTCAGCAATCCAATCTGACGGAAGTAAAGCTGCATTTTCCAGGCCCAATCATTATAGCCCTCACCATTGAACTTCTCGACAGTGAAATTCTTCAGCACCTCCTTGATCAGCGAGCTCTGGTTGGTTCGCGCTCCCCTTGGCGCTGAAACACCAGAATCTTGGCTGCCGCTACGATCTTGGGCTGAAGATTTACCAGCTCCCGCCGAGGTGTTGCCCGCTGTTGGGTGCAAATGCACATTGCACGACATCCTGCCGTCTGTTTGTACGAGTATGCGTGTGCGAATGCATTTGCGTGTGAATGGTGTGTTCGTGTGTTTGTTTGCTTTCGCATTTTTCGCTTGATGCATTTGCAGGTACTCGCGCAATGTGCGTTTCGGCACAACATTGTATGCAATATGAACAGTGCAAGCAGAAAGGACGAGCTCGCAAAGGAACCCAAGATGGAAGCTTTGCAGTTCGGTTGAGTTGATTGCGCAGATTCAGTTCTATCCAACTCGGAATTGTACTGTTTTGTTTGGTTAACTATAGTGTAGCAGGGAAGGCACTATAGGGGTACAATTTAGGTGAAGGTTGGATGTTGTTTGTCTGTATCTGCATGCTGCAAGGCCAGGGGAAACCAGCGGAACCAGCATTTGGCTGGTTGGGCAAAGACAAAACAGGTTCTGTTTTTAGAACCTGAACCTGGTTGTTGTTTTCCCAGGTTGGAAAAACAGAACCAGAGGTTGTTTACCAACCTACCACCTGCTATTTTGTCCAGCCAGGTTGGTTCTGTTGCTTGGAATTATTTGGGATCATCCCTGGTTGTTCCCAGGTTGATTCCCAAGGTCCTTGCTAGCTAGAACTGTTTAATCCTTCTCTGTTTGTACCTGAATATAGTCAAATTGATTCAAGCGAATTCCTTCCTCGCTGGAATTTCGTTTCTGCGCTATTCGACGGCGGAATGCTACCCGAGTCAACGCTAGTATGCTAGCACTCCAACGCTAGGCAAACGCTGTCCGAGCCATAACTTAGTAATGGCAGAACTTTTCGCGAGGCAACTTGGCTCATTTTAAAGCTCTTGGAGCGAGCTTCGATATAGCAAGTTCTCAGCTTAATCCGATCGACGGTCTGCACGGCACGCTGCGCGACGTTCAAGGTACTCTTGCTGTTTTGACTAAGTCCTTCTTGATCCCTCTCTCTACAAACTCGGACCCGAGGATAGGGGCTGGTCTTGTACCAGGCACCCAGGGACCCTTGGAGGTGACCCCGAGGAGAGGTTTTAAGTTTGATTAAGTCCTAATAGCTTGAGTTTATTAGGCCCTTACACCAACAAGCTGGTATCAGAGCTGCGTTATAGTGATCCTCGTTATAGGTAGCTATGGCGGGCAACACCTCGGCGGGAGCTGGTGAATCTTCAGCCCAAGATCGTAGCGGCAGCCAAGATTCTGGTCTTTCAGCGCCAAGGGGAGCGCGAACAAACCAGGGCTCGCTTGTCAAGGAGGTGCTGAAGAATTTCACCGTCGAGAAGTTCAATGGTGAGGGCTATGATGATTGGGCCTGGAAAATGCAATTATATTTCCGTCAGATCGGTTTGCTGAAACTAATGATTGGGGAGGAGCCTAGACCGAGTGACCCCACGCTGCAGGAAGATTGGGACGAGCGCTCCTCGGCTGGCTACTATTTGATGTCGCAGAGTTTGGAGCTGAACCAGCGTCACCACGTCATGCACCTGCTGCCGGAGGTTGAATGCGGTCCGAAGGCGTGGACCGTGTTGAAGGAGCTGCACGCCCCGACCTCCGTTGTCGCAACGTTGATGCTGGAGAGGGAGCTGTCCGCGTTGCGCCTGAGCGAGGGAGAGCCGGTGCAACCAGTCCTGGACAAGATGCGCGACCTCTACGCGAAGTTGGCGACCGCGGGAATCACCTACCCGGAGCAGACCAAGTGCTTGAAGATGCTCTCGCTGCTGCCGGAATCGTGGCTTCAATTTACGAGCGGATTGAGCCTGCCGCAGAACCAGAGCTTGTGGACGCTCGAGTGGGTGCGGACGAAGATTCTGGAGGAGGACTTCCGTCGCCGCCAACTGAGGGGTGGAGACGACGGCAGCAGCGGCTACGGGATGCAAGGGAGCCGACGTGGCAGAGGACGTGGCTTCGGTGGTGCTGGACGCGGTGCAAAGAAAGACGATGACTCCAACGACCAACAAGGAGGTACCGGTTGGGGTCGCGGTGCGAAATCTGGACGTGGGGGCAAGTCGGGTGCTGGTGGCAAAATGAAAGGGAGTTGCTGGTATTGTGAGAAGGAAGGGCACCCCTGGTTTTTGTGCTATAAGAAACCCGATGGATGGACCCCCCAGAATCGTCACCAGGATGGCGGCGCGCGGAGGAACCAGAAAAACGGCGCCAACATGGTCGCTGATTCGTCCGACAACAACCCGAAGGGCAACGGCGGTGCGGAGAAGAAAAAGGAGCGCACCGCGGGCCAATTCTTCCATGTGGGAGACAAGGGGGAGCAAGGAGACGCCTCTGCCAAAGTTGGAGCAGAGCTGCACCCCCTAGACTATTGGGTGTTGGACACAGGCGCTGCTTGGACGATGACGCCGCGCAAGGACCTGCTAGACGAAGTACGAGCTGCACCGATCAATGAAGTGTGCTCCGCCTCTGGACACATGTTGAAGGTGGCTGGTGCGGGACGAGCTGCGTTTAAGGGAGCGGATGGCAAGCCGGTGGTGCTGCACGACGTTCTCTTCGTCCCCGACCTGAAGGCCAACCTTATCTCCCTCCGTAAGCTTGGCAAGGCTGGGGTGAACACCAACACGGATGGGGCACGCACTTATAAGGGGAAGCTGGGCAATCGGGTGCTTTGGGATCTGCACGAGAGCAAGGACGTGTACAGATCTATGTGGCAGCTACCGGCCCTGGCGTGGCATGGTGGGGGGCAGGCTGGAGAGGGGTCTGCATCCCAGGGGGAGTGCAATGCCGTTGGAGGGGTTGGTGTGAAAGTGTCGGCCAGATCTGGGGAGACAGATTGGGCAACGGCACACCGGCGCTTAGGGCATGTGGCAATGCCTTTGCTGAAGCAGCTGGAGAAGGATGGAGCCGTTAAGGGTCTGAAGCTGAACGGACAGCCACCCGATGACAACTGTGAAATCTGTTTGCTTTCAAAGTTCACCCGTTTCCCTTTCCATAGTGTGGCTGGCAGGAGCAAGAAGCCTTTGGAGCTGGTCCACATGGACTTGGTGGGGCCGCTGCCGGTGCAAGGGCACAAGGGGGAGCGGTATTTTCTTACAATTGTGGATGACTGGAGCAGGCTAATGTGGGCGTATCCGCTGAAGCAGAAGGACCACGCCGCCTCCACGATACGGGACGATTGGCTGCCATTCGTGGAGAAGCAGGCGGAGTGTGTAGTGAAGCGGATTAGGACAGACCGGGGTGGTGAGTTCCTTGGAGCTGAAATGACGGCCTGGCTCAAGAAGCAGGGCATCCAGAGAGAGCTGACCACGGCTTATACCCCACAATCAAATGGTGTAGCAGAACGGGCAAACCGGACCATTCTGGAGACAGCTAGGGCGCTGCTC